CCTGCAGCAATTTCTAGTCATCTGGTGGATGGTTGGTTTCTTCCCAAACTTGGAAGTCCAATCTGAGGGTTGAAGAGCGTGCAGAAATGGAAACAGAGAGAGGGAAACAATAGCAACAACAGCAAAAAAACAGACAAGAAACAGAGAAAAAGAGAAGAAAAAACGAAGAGAAAAGCATTTCAATAAAACTAAAAAAAAAACATTAATATTAAAAAAAAATTCAATAAAACCCCAAAATTAGAAAACCGCGCGGCACGATCGCAGGAGCCGTGGAGCTGTCTCTTGAAGAAGGCCTGTTCTGTTCCCTTCTGCCTCCTGGGTCGGGAGGGGGAGAGGGAATTATTAACAAGATAAAAGGGCTAGGAGGGGCCAAAAGGCCCAGAAAAATGCCTCACCTGAAAAAAATTCTAAAAAACAAAAATTAAAAAAAAGAGAGAGAGAAGACAGAGACAGAGGTGTAGTCATGTTGCAATTATTTTTCAGCCTTTTCTCCATCCCATCAGGATTCCATATTTCCCAAACCACTAGTACTGGGACATGAACCATGATTGGGCATATGGATTCAGTTTCCAGTGTACAGCACTGAACTGCTTCACTATGGGGCCAGCCCTCCATCATAGTTTAAATGTGCATCGGCCTTTCTACACAGCCTCACCATAAATTCTATACTGTTGTGGTTTTGGTTTTGTTTTCTTTTATTTTGCCACAGGACATGTGTTGTTCTCATCAAAGAGAGAGAGACAAAGTGAGAAATCATCCCCTAGGGGAGACAGCCACACTGCAGTCCCTTCTCTTGCATTCTCCTCTCTAGACTTTTGGCACACATGTGCATATACCCAGCATGTTTTCAAGCTGTCTGGTCTGAGACTCGAACTGTGCATTTGTGCATGTGTGATCCAGCCACTTTTACATCAGTTAATTTTTTTCCTTACTCTTTGCTTCATTCAGTTTATTTAATTTTTCGCAAGATACATTTTTAGTGAATTTTGTTTCATTTTAAATTTTTTCTCTATTCATGATAGAATGTGTACACATGCACATAAGAGAGAAGCACCCTACATAGGACCTGGTCATGCTGTAGGCCCCTTCCTCGAGCCTGTGAATCTTGGGCACTTTCATGCATGCTTGGCATGTTCCAGGTGGCCTGGGCCAGGGATTCAAACTGTGGTTGCTATGCGAAATTCTCTTTTGAGTACTGCATTACCACTATGCCACAGATTCAACCCTGTTGCATTTTTATTGTTGTTACAGTTTTTAAATTTTCTTCTAAGCACTATAGTTATATTTATAGATACTTACATGTAGTTTTTTATTTCCCCTTTTCCTAAAAAACAAAAGGACTATTTTGGATTTTATTTCCCTGTTGACCTAATTGTAATAGCTGAAAATCTCATTCTTTTTCTTACTCAAAAAACTCACTCAGCATTTACATTTTCCTTAGGTTATTCCTCCTACTGGTTTGTCATCCTCTGGACTACATCCAACATGACCTTTTTTAGCATGTCCTTTAATTTTTTTTGTTTGAGAGGTTTTTGCTATAGGGCGCGTGTGCTCACCAGACAGAGAGAGAGAGACAGAGAGACATAGAGCGAGAAATCACCCCCCAGGGGGGATGGCCACGCCGCAATCCCTTCTCCTCCATTCTCCTCTTGGGATCTTGGGCACGCACGCACACATGCCTGGCGTGAATTTTAAGCCACTGAGTCCAGGACACGAACCGCGGTCGACTACATGGGAGTCCAGTGACATAGCCATTACACTAACTGCTGGTCCCCATGTCCTTTAACATTGAAATGACTGTAATGAGACTTTTTATCAATATAACTGATTTACTAACATAGCATATCCTTTTTTTTTTTTTGCTAAGAATTTTTTTAATGAACTTCACTAAGGTATAAATATATTTTCTTGTCTGAAACATCACTGATACATGTTTCCAGAAAATATAAGAATGGCCTTACTTATAAGAGAATAGAATGGAAAGGAGAAGAGTAACGAAAGGAAAGAATAAAGTCATTTGAACAGGGCCCAGCAGGTGGCATAGTGGCTAAGGTACTGTACTCCCACGTGGTCAACTATGGTTTGAGCCCCAGACCTGGTGGCTTGAAAATCAGGCCAGGTGCATGTGCATTCGTACGCAAAAATCCCAAGAGGAGAATGGAGGAGAAGAGATTGTAGTGTGGCCATCCCTCCAGATGGGTGATTACTCACTTTCCCTCCTTCTGTCTCTATCCAGCAAGCGCATGCACCCTATGGCAAAAAACTTAAAAAAAAAAAAAAAAAAAAGAAACACTTAGATTCACGACTGATTACTACATAAGGAAATCCACTGTTTCACAAGTGCCATTCATGCACACAAAGATTATAATAACCTTTCTGGTACCTCAATGTTAAATATTAATTTAGAGCTAAAAAATACCAAACCTTTGATGAAAGCCTTAACATGAAAGGCAAATTAGAGGGACCAGCAGATGGCGTAATGGCTATGTCGCTGGACTCCCATGTGGTTGACCATGGTTCGAGTCCCAGACCAAGTGGCTTAAACTCACGCTGGGCATATGTGTGTACGTGCCCAAGATCCGAAGGGGAGAATGGAGGAGAAGGGATTGTGGTGTGACCATCTTTTGTGAGGGTTGATTTCTCGCTTTCTGTCTGTCTTTCTCTCTCTCTGTGGCAAGTGCACACACTCTATAGCAAAAACCTCTCCAAAAAAAAAAAAGAAGACAGATTAGAACAAATAGGAAAATACAAAGTGAAGAACTAAAGGGCCCACACATGTAAAATTATAATTAATAGCACAGAGAGCTAAGGGATTATTATAGCAATGAAATATTAACAGGGTTCTATAAAATGTAAGAGCTTAGATGCAGAGAGATATATTCAGAGCAAGTATATAACTGGGAATAAATGAGTAAAACCTATTATGTGCTATGGATTTATTATTTAATGGAGAGTTAAGGAGGGATTATTTCTGTTCTGGAGATGTATAGGTAAGAATAAGCAGAATAACTAGCAGAAAAATTAATAAATATAGTCATGTACAGTCTACCGATTTTTCAGTCGACAGTAGCCTAGTTGTGGTTCTGTAAGAAACACATAGGATAGGGGCCAGCCAGCAGGTGGCATGGTAATTAAGGCATTGGACTCCCACATGTCTAGCTGTAGTTTGAGTCCCAGACCTGGAGTCTTACTTTCTCAATTTCCCCCTGCCTCCTCTCACCTCCAGTCTATCTCTGGTGAGTGCATGTGCCCTCACAACAAAATTATTATTATTATTTTCAGAAATTAAAACAAAACAATAATTAAAAAACAATAATGATAAATGAAAAATTTTAAATGACTGATTTGAAAAAAATACACACATAGGCTATACTATACCTTAGGTTTGTAGTAGGCTATACTGTCTAGGTTGGTATGTATACTCTGATGTTCACACAATGACAAAATCACCTAATGATGCAGTTCTTAGAGTCTATGCTCATCATCATGTATGACATTTGACTGTATATAATTTAATAATTAGGTATAGTAAAGGAAAGGAATAGAGAATAATAGAATAGGTTTAGATACTGTCAGTGGGAGCTTACAGGAAGTGATTTTAATCTAAGACCTCAGGATGAAAAGGAGCCAGGCATGCAAAAAAAGCCCAATTAGGAGATATGTGGGACCTAGAGCAGATTGTTAGAAGTTGTGAGAGATGGGCGCCAGCAGGTGATGTGTTGGTTACGATGCTGGACTCCCACATGGCTGACCACGGTTCAAGTCCTGGACCTAAATAGTTTGTTTTTTTCGCTTTCTCTGTCTCTCTGTCTCTCTCTGATCTACTTAAAAAAATGATAATGAATAAAATTAAATAAAATAATTATTTAAAAATAAAAGTTCTGAGAGATGTAGATAAGTATGTTCATATAGTAAATTGGGACATATTATATGACCCGAAAGGAGGCCTCCGCAGGTAGCAGCAGTAAAGGGGGCAAATGGATTGATATGTTATATGTGAGCTGAGGCCTTGTTAATCATGAGTTTGATTTTATTCTAAAAGTAAAGAGATATTGTTGAAAAATGTTTAAGTATGGGTTTTCAACCTTTCGTGTCCATCAGAAATGTGTGGAGAATATTAAATTGTTTTTAAAAATTTATTATTTACTTTTTTAATTTTTTTTAATTTGCTGTAGAGCATGTGCACTCACCAGAGAGAAACGGAACATGAAAAAGCAAGCTGCCAGGTCCAGGACTCAAACCTCAGTTGGCCATGTGGGACTGCATCTTCTTAACCACCATATCACCTGCTGACCCCAAGTAAACTAAATATTAAGCCAGGACTATGGTTTCTGATCCGGGTGGTTTGGGTGAGGTCCAAACTTCAGTATCATAACAAGTTCCCAAGTGATTCTGATGCACATCTCAATTTGAAAACCAATGACTTAAATATTTACTTAATTATCAGTTTATCTTTCTAATATGAGCTCTCATTTGTTCTTTATTTTGCTCCCCCTCTCCAAAATTGTACAATATTTCAAAACAACTTTCGTTGTTTTCTATTTCTTTTGTTTGTTTATTTTCTGTTTTTTTAAAGAATTAATTATTTATTATTATTTTTAATTTGTTATAGGTCACACACACTCACCAGACAGAGAGGGAAAGTAAGAAAGCAATCCACCAGGTTCAGGACTCAGACCATGGATGGCCATGTGGGGATCTAGCACCTTAACCACCATGCCACCTGCTGGGCCCAAGTTGTTTCCTATTTCTCTTACAGACATTTTACATTTTTTTAAAAGAATTAGTTTATTCATCTTTATTTATTAATCCATTTTTAATTTGACCATAGAAGGACAAAGTGAGAGAGAGAGTGAGAAAGCAAGCTGCCAGGTCTGGGACTCAGACCACAATCAGCCATGTTGGCTATCCAGCGCCCTTAACCACCATTTCACCTGCTGGCCGCAGACATTTTACTTTTCTTAAGAAAAAATTGTGTATACTTTCTTGTCTTCTTTTAGATCTGGAGAACAAGTATGAGGCCATGAAGTTAACTTCAGAAAATGAAATTTATGAAATAAATTTATCCCAATGGAAGATAATGGAAAGAATTAAAAACCATGGCCTTAAGGGTCTCATTTTAAAAAGCAATTGGGACTCCAAAAGAAAGTTTGAAGTGCCGGAAGGATCTCAAGAGGAATATTTCAGTCAAGTGAAAATCACGTCTGAGAAAGTGTCCTCTTACCAAAAACGCACATCTGGTACTCCACAGCAGAGAATTCATTTTGTTGAGAAACCCTATGAATGCAAGGAGTGTGGGAAGGCTTTTAGAGTGCGCCAGCAACTTACTTTTCATCACAGAATTCATACTGGTGAAAAGCCCTATGAATGTAAGGAATGTGGGATGGCCTTTAGACAGACTGCACACCTTACTCGTCATCAGAGACTTCATTCTGGTGAAAAACTCTATGAATGTAAGGAATGTGGAGAAGCTTTCATATGTGGTCCAGATCTTAGAGTACATCAGAAAATTCATATTGGTGAGAAGCCCTATGAATGTAAAGAATGTGGGAAAGCCTTTAGAGTACGAGGACAACTTACTCTCCATCAGAGGATTCATACTGGTGAGAAACCCTATGTATGTAAAGAATGTGGGAAGGCCTTTAGACAGTATGCACACCTTACTCGACATCAGAAGCTTAATATTGCTGACAAGCTCTATGAATGTAAAGAATGTGGAAAGGCCTTTTTGTGTGGCTCTGGCCTTAGAGTACATCACAAACTTCATACTGGTGAGAAACCCTATGAATGTAAAGATTGTGGGAAGGCCTTTAGAGTGCGACAACAACTAACTCTCCATCAGAGAATTCATACTGGTGAGAAGCCCTATGAATGTAAAGAATGTGGAAAGACCTTTAGCCGTGGTTATCATCTTATTCTCCACCATAGAATTCATACTGGTGAAAAACCTTATGAATGTAAGGAATGCTGGAAGGCCTTTAGTCGTTACTCACAACTTATTTCACATCAGAGTATTCATATTGGTATTAAACCCTATGATTGTAAAGAATGTGGGAAGGCCTTTAGACTACTCTCACAGCTTACTCAACATCAAAGTATTCATATTGGTGAGAAACCCTACAAATGTAAGGAATGTGGGAAGGCCTTTAGATTACGCCAAAAGCTTACTCTACATCAGAGCATTCATACTGGTGAAAAACCCTTTGAGTGTAAAGAATGTAGGAAGGCCTTCAGACTTAATTCATCTCTTATTCAACATCTGAGAATTCATTCTGGGGAGAAACCCTATGAATGTAAGGAATGTAAGAAGGCCTTTAGACAGCATTCCCACCTTACCCATCATCTGAAAATTCATAATGTAAAAATATGAGAAAGTCTTTTCAGTTTTGTGTTACAGAACATTCTGTGAATGTAGAAATTAATCTCTTTTGTTTGATATATGCAACCGATTTGACATAGAGGTTTCATGTCACTAAAAGACTGTTGATTTTATGTATTCCACCATCACTCAAATCTGAAATTTCAACACATTTGTTATGAAAACTAATCCTATTAATAAATATGGGAAGGACTATCATCATCTCTACCCCACCATTTTCCTACTTGTGTTATATTGAATAAGACATTTAATTGCACCATGCTCTAATATTTCCACTTATAGGATGGTGTTGATAGCTGCAAATTCTTTGACACTCTCCATCAAGAGGTGGACTCCACATTCCCTCCCATGAATATGAGCAAACGCTGAATACTTTTGTCCAATACAATACAGTAAAAGTACTAGATTACTAGTTTCTAGACCAGGCTTTTCTGGTAGGGTTATTTCATTTCTTAAAATACTCTCATGCCCTGAACTATTGTGCTAAAAACTATGGTGTTCACTGTGCTAAAGAAGGAGCATGGAGGGAACCAGCAGTTAGCGTAATGGCTATGTCGCTGGACTCCCACGTAGTCGACCGCGGTTCGCGTCCCGGACCCAGTGGCTTAAAACTGACGCCGGGCGCGTGTGCGTGTGTGCCCAAGATCCCGAGAGGAGAATGGAGGAGAAGGGATTGCGGTGTGACTATCCCCCCTGGGGGGTGATTTCTCGCTTTCTGTCTCTATGTATCTCTCTGTCTGGCGAGCGCACGCGCCCAATAGCAAAAATCTCTCCAAAAAAAAAAAAAAAAAAAGGAAGAGCATCTGCAAAAATGCAGTGAAAGTAAAACTGTTATTTAGTAACTATGATAAAGTAAGATTTAAAGCACAAACTTTTCCTTTTTTTCTTTTTTTTTGAGAGGTTCTTGCTATAGGGTGCGTGCACTCGCCAGACATAGAGAGACAGACATAGGGACAGAAAGCGAGAAATCACCCCCAAGGGGCGATGATCACGCCACAATCCCTTCTCCTCCATTCTCCTCTCGGGATCTTGGGCACGCATGCACACGGGCCTGAGTTCTAAGCCACCGGGTCCGGGACGCGAACCGTGGTCGACTACGTGGGAATCCAGCGACATAGCCATTACGCTAACTGCTGGTTCCCTAAACTTTTGCATTTTTGAAACAGCAATTAGGTATATTCTAAAAACAATGACCACCTAAAATGTCATGATATTTTCTAGGAAACTATGTTTAAGTAACGTACCTTTCAGCTTATAAGAACCCGAATCTCATTTTCGTAATGTCTTTTCATTTGAAACATATAGTTTTCAATTCAGTTCTTCTTAAAAGTTAGATATTTTGCCCTTCTTTGGGTGAGTCCTTTGAGATCTCTAGATTGCTCTATTTTTCACTTGCATAGTCATACATTTAGAAGAGAATGTCTAATGGAATAGATATCCTAGGCATTTGTGGAGAATTGGCTAGTCTGATAAAATGATCGCAACACTTCCTGGCTGGGAAAGTTACGCATGTACCCCAACTACTTATCGTTAGTTTCCTCAATTGTAAAATGAAGATAACAATGCATAGCTCTGTGCAAGTTTACATCATACAATTAAATAAATACTTATTTTTTTATTTAATTGTTTTGAAGAGAGAGATTTTTGCAATAGGGCATGTGCACTTACAGGAGAGACAGAAAGTGAGAAATCACTCCCCACGGGGGATGACTATGCTGCAGTCCCTTTTCCTCCATTCTCCTCTCAGGATCTTGGCACACATGCATTCGCACCCGGAAAGGCCCTAGGACTACATCGAGAGAGTGAGGCATCCTGCTAAACCTATCTATTCTAGACATGTCCACCAAGCCATCACAAATTTGAGTGAAATAGTTTCGGATTCTTCAGATCAGCCACCATCTGAATGCCACAAAGTGACCTCAGCTGGCACTGTATAGAACAGAAGAAATGACCAGCTGAGCCCCTGCCCAAATTTTTGATACCCAAAATCATGAGATAAAATGAGATGGTTGTACTAAACCACTAAATTTTGTTTTATTAGCATCATTTTTTTTGAAGGATTTTTGCTATAGGGTGTGAATGCTTGCTGGAGAGACAGAAAGCAAGAAATCACCCCCTAGAGGGGATGGCCATGCCACAATCCCTTCTCCATTCTCCTCAGATTTTTGGGCACGCATGCCCATGTGCCCAGCATGAGTTCTAAGCCACCGAGTCTGGGACTCGGGCTGCAGTTGACCACGTGGGAGTCCAGAAACTTAACCATTATGCCATCTGCTGCTCCCAAACTTTTTTTTTTTAACAGTTATTTTATTTAACTTTATTTATTTTAATTTGATCAGAGAGGTACAGAGTGAGAGAAAGGGAGAAAACAAGCCACCAGGTTCAGGACTCAAGCCGTAGTTGGCCATGTGGGAGTCCAGTGCGCTTAACCACCACACCACATCCTTGCCCCCTGAACCTTATTATTTTTGAGAATTCATATGAAAGATTATAGGCATAATGAATATAGAAAAGTCTTCTGCAAATATACCTTATCGAACTTTGTCTAGCTGGTTCTCATTAAAACATTCAAGGTGGGGACCAGTAGATGGTATAATGGTTACATGGCTGGACTCCCATGTAGTCGACCATGGTTCAAGTCCCAGACCTGGCAGCTTGAAACTCAATGCTAGTGCATGTATGTGTGTACCCAAAATCCTGAGAGGAAAGTGGGGGAAGAGGGATTGTAACATGGCCATCTCCCCTGGGGGGCAATTTCTTGTTTTCTGTTTCTCTGGCAAGCACATGTGCATTTGCAAAAGTCTCTATATAATACAATATTTTTTTAAAAAAGCAAAGTGAGAAATTTTTCCAGTTGATTTATATAAAGGCAGATATTTTTATAACCTACTTTCGCAGACTTCAGTCAATATTGCAAAATTAACAAAGATAATAAAAGGTACCTGGAAAATGACCTATTCTATAATTTTTGCATATTTAAAATTTTTATCATCAATATTTAAATATGTATCATTCCATTTTAGCTTTATTTTAATGCTAAATTGTCCTATCTTTGGCCAGTGGGGATCCCTTGGAATTGGCTTTTGTGTCATTTAGTCAGGGCCACTATAGCTTCTAATAACTTTTTTTTTCCTGACCAAATAAATGCATTGATTAGCTATGGAGCATACTGGGGCATTTCTTCATAAATAATAGGAAAGAATGGAACACTTATCTTGCCTTTCCATTATGTGCCATATTTCAAGACAACAAAAGGTGGTAAAGGAAAATTCTTTATTATTAGAATTCTAGCTACTAATGGTAAAGGAATGATAGAATTTGAAAATTGCACTTTTTTTATTTACAAGGTAATGCCAAGACTATTAGGTAAAAGATTGTCAGGAAGCTTATAATGGATAGATCTGAATGAGAGAGCCCACTAATCTATTATTTATTAACATGTCTAAGTTATATCAGATTCTTTTTTTTTTTTTTTTTTAATTTGCCAGAAGGTACATGCACTCAACAGAGAGACAGGAAGAAGAAATCACTCCCCAGTGGGGTATGGTTACACTGCAATTACTTTTTCATTACTCTACCCTGTTGGGATTAGGGGCATGCATGCACATGTGTCTGACATATTTTTTAAGCCATCAAACTGGGATTTGAACCACGTAGTTGGCTATGTGGGATCCATCTACCTTAAACACCAGGCCACAGAGCCAGCCCAAGACTATGCATCCTTGATGTGATACAATGAATGTACCTGTGAAGTATATCTGCCCAAAAAATTGACCCAGAGTTATGGGTTAGTCTCTAAATCTGATTACCAGATTTTAGAAAACATAAGGAATAAAAGAAAATATTAATGACACACAACACAAATCCAGAATCTGGGAAATTTTACAGAATGGAGTAGTTGATTAAGTAATACGTGTCAAAAAAAGAGATAAAAATGGAATACTACAAATTAACTTAAGGGACATATGAGTCAAATCCATTGTGTGTAGTATGTTTGGATCTTTGTGTTAAAATATATTGGGACCAGCAGTTGGCATAATGGCTATGTAGCTGGACTCCCATGTAGTCAACCACGGTTCAAGTCCTGGACCCGGTGGCTTAAACTCATGCCGGGTGCATGTGCATTCTTGCCCAAGATCTCAAGATCATGAGAAGAGAATGGAAGAGAAGGGATTGTGGCATGGCCATCCCTCCTGGGGGGTGATTTCTCGTTTTCTGTCTCTTTGTCTCTCTCTGCCTTTCTGGCAAGTGCACACACGCTATAACAAAAACCTCTTGAAAAAATATATACATATATATATATATCGCTTTCTGTCTCTTTATCTCTGTCTTTCTGGCGAGCACACACGCCCTATAGCAAAAATCTCTAAAAAAAAGACAAAACAAACAAACAAAAAAACACCTCACACCAGGCATGTGATATCCAAAATCCCAAGAAGAGAATGGAGCAGAAGGAACTGCAGCATGGCCATCCCCCTGGGGAGTGATTTCTCATTTTCTGGTTGTCACTTTCTGTCTCTGGCGAGCTCATGCACCCTATAGCGGAAATCTCTAAAAATACACACACACAGACATACATATATTCAGATTAGACAGTTCAAATAATTTCTCAGACTTCATAGGGGGTGATTCCTAGTTGTTTAGTTAGTACCTGACCCGAGTCATTTAGGTGGGGAGAATATTGACTTGGTGTGAGAGTTTGATAAGAGAGATGGTTGGAAGTAGATTGGTTTGTACATCAAAGGTAAGCCATTTGCTATGCAGTTTGCTAGCCTTGGGAGGAGTATCTCCAGGATCAAGGTCCCAAATGCTAGATCATCAAGAACATAGAAAATAAAGTATAGTCAATATAATCCTGATTCAAACAAATACAGTCATGTACCAAATAATGTTTCAGTCAGCAACACCACATGTACAATGGTGGTCCCTTAAGATTATAATAGAGCTAAACAATTCCTGTCACCTAGTGATGTCATCGCATACTGCTACCAATTAATAAAAAATATAGCACAATTATATATAGTATGTAATACTTGAACATGATAATAAATGACTGTTACTTGTTTATGCATTGTACTTTTTATTCTTACGTTAAACTGTGTACTCCTTATTAAAAAAAGTTTACTGTAAAAGGGTATACTGTTTAACCACCAGCAGCCTCATATATCTCTTATAAACTGTGTCTCAGTTGAATCCTTTTCTCTTTCACTCTCCCTATCTCTTTCTTCTTCTTTATCGCAATGACTGAGAGACAGAGTGAGAAATACAACACCTGTGAGGACCAGCAAGTGGTATGGTACATAAGGCGCTGGTCACTCCCACATGGCCGACTATGGTTTGAGTCCTGGACCTCGTAGATTGCTTTCTCCCTTTCCCTCTCTCTGCCCCACTCTCTTTTTCTTTCTCTCTCTGTTCTCTCTGTAACTCTCACTCTGGTCAAAATTTTTTTTAAAAAATGAATGAATAAATAAAATTAAATAATTTTTATAAAGAAAAGAAAAGGGAACCAGCAGTTAGCATAATGGCTATGTCGTTGGATTCCCACATAGTCAATCGCGGTTTGCGTCCCGGA